TAACCAAGCTCTACACATAATACAGTATGTATGTAATGTATAGTGCCTATCCCGCGTTTGCTAATCACAACTAGGACTCTCCGGTTATTGCGCCCGCCGCTTATTAAGCCCAATTTGGTCACCTCCGGTTAGTGCGCCTGCCGCTTATTAAGCCCAATTTGGTCTGGGCCCGAGTTGGGCTTAATAATCGGCGAGTACAGTAGTAGGATTGAACTTACTCAAACATCGGATGTATACCAAAATCAGCACTAAGTCATTACTAATGTCATGGTCCGTGCCGGAAGCCGGAAATATCTTCAAAAAGATTAAGCCTGTTAATTTATCTGAATCAATTCGGCTCACAGCCCATCTAATCCATGTTGGAAGTAAAATAAAGATTACTCTTCTAACTTAAATTATATGAGATAACCGTCACTTTCCCCCATTTCAGTGCAAACTGCGTGTTGCATTTGTTTCATTGCTTCGTAGATTCTGTAAAGACGCGTCTCCTGACACCAGTTTCCGAAAAATTTAACGAGAGTGTGCTTTGTCTAAAGAATTCTTGGCGATACTCAGTACCCTCAAGTTGCACATATATTGACTATTCTACTAGTTTTATTTGAGTAGCCATATCAAACGAATATTAATTAACAGACCGTTCATCAGGCGCGCAAACTGCCACGTACCGTATTCCTTTTGGTGTTCCAGAACATCACGCATCGTTCTTGTGTATCCGCCCTAGTAAAGGCATAGACCAGCGTACTGGTACTTCTGCAATATGTCCATTGATATTTCGGTCGTAGATTTGTGAAGTAGATGAACGAGTCAATAGCCAGTGCCAGTCGTAGAGAACCCAAACCCTCCCAAGCGCATGCCGAGGGCTGTTTTCCGGGCACGCTCAGGGTACGTAAGTGCTAAAAATGAAAGGTATTGAAGGTAATTAGCACTGATCAAATGGAATGGCAGCAAGTGTGTTACGATAAAAAACCCGCTGACATTAGTATTAGCGCGACTGTGTGTAAATCATTTCAGATATACGATCAATAATTGTAGCTCGGGTGAGTAAACCGATGGTTTAACAAATTCCTCGTCTTTTT